GTGAACAGTCCATTTCCATTTCAATTCTAAAAAAATATATTATTATTATGGGTTCCCTACTCCAAAAAAACCGTATTCCTATTGTTAATATTACATTGTTTGAAATATATGTTCTACAAACTTGTTTTCACCATTTTTTAATAACAGGTTAAATCTTAACACTTACAAAAAGCTAAATGAGCAAAACTTTATTTTACTGATAGAGACCATGCAATTAAAAGTAAATTGCAGAGATTCAGAAAGAATATTTAAGAAGTGCATTCAGACCTTTATTCTGATTTGTGTGACCTGGAAGGCCAATTCTGTCCCAGTTGAGAGAATGATGCTGGCTTGTCTTTTTCCGGCCTCTGTCAGGAAGCCTTTGGATAAAGCAAAATATGCAACAACTTATCTGGAATGTTCAGAACAAACTTTTCCACCTTGATATATGTCTGCCTGAAACTCTGCAATTGGTGTGCACATTAATTAAAACTTAACCGTGTCTAAGAATTAAGTTTGCAATTTGAGTGTTCTCTGGGAATTTGTTTTACTCCTGATGGCTGGCTAGTGTATAAAATGCAGAGATGATCCTCACTTATTGACCACTCACTATTAGACCAGTAATAGACCAGTAATAGACCAGTGACTATTCAAACATACAGCAGCAACGAACAAGTGATACTTACGTTCAGTCCTCAAAGTTCTGGGCGGACATATGTTATGTGATCATAATCTCTGTCCTTGGTAATTGGCTCACATTTACAACATCACAAGTGTCTCATGGTCATGTGATCACCGTTTGTGACTTTGACTGCTTGCTTCCAACAAGCAAAATTAATGGGGCAGCCAATAGGAGGTTGCAAATGGCAGCTGTGAGATGTTGCAGGAATTGCCTAACAGCAGCAACCGGAAGTTGTGTAATTGCTGTCACTAAGTAGCATGGTCATTGTGCAGTTGTGCTTTATGACTGTGTCACTTAATGATGGAATGTCCAGTCCTAATTGCTATTGTTGACTGAGGACTACTTGTACCGTGTTTCCCCGAAAATGAGACAGGGTCTTATTTTCTTTTTTTCCCCCGAAATAAGCACTTGGCCTTATTTTCGGGGAAGTCTTATTATTTTTGAGGTGCAGGAGGCAGCAAGCATAGTCACCTCATGGCTGCTGCTGTGTTGCAATATTTTCAGGGAGGGCTTATTTTCAGGGGAGGGCTTATTTTTTGGGGAAAACGGGGTATTTCAAGCCACTGTTGCACATGTCCAGTTCTACTGCAATATGCTGAATATGGAGTTGGCTCTGAAGAACATCTATAAGCTTTGTGTTGATCATAACATCTGAGAAAATATTTTAAAAGGGCTGTTATTTGGCATATTGCTTTTGTTTCCAGCCTCAATTTAAAATGCTGACTTTTACCACTACACTAAATACTATGATCAGTGAAAACCACTTTCCACCGTGATGAAGGCTGTTTTATGAAGTCATACATGTCACACATTTGTATTGCTGTTTGACATCATTGCTCTTTCATTTATTGGGTTTTTAATATTCTATTTTATTGTATGGCTCTTTGATATTTCTGTGTGAGAAAAAAAGCAAGATTGATATATATGAGTTGAAAATGAAAATCAAAGGAGGCCCTTACCATCTCCTGTCCATGGTTCCACGAGCATATTCTCAGGTCCTGATTTGTCTTCCTTCCCTTTGACATCACAAGCTTGCAGAGTTAGCTGCAGGGCAGTTCCTGGAAAAAGCAGAGAAGCTTTATGAAGAGAATAGGGCGTCCAATGGAGAACAGAGTGGGACGAGAATGACTCAGAATAACCTCTACTCTTTCAGCTTAAGTTCACATGGATGACTCCAGGTCCAACATTTACAAGCGGAATTTTTCTTTCAACATGTGATTGAAAGAAAAACTTACATTTATTCTTCCCAATATACGTCCAACAATACAGGTGCTGCATTATACTCACTGTTCAAGAAACACTTAGACAGGTAAATCCTCAACTTATGCCCACAATTGAACCCAAAATTTCTGTTGCTCAGGAAGGCAGCTGTTAAGTGAATTTTGCCCCATTTTGCAACCTTTCTTGCCACAGTTAAGTGAGTTACTGAAGTTGTTAAATTAGTAATATGGCTGGTTTCCCCATTGACTTTGCTTGTCAGAAGGTTGTAAGAGGTAATCACATGACCCTGCAATCATCCTAAGTACATGCCAGTTACCAAACAGACGAATTTTGATCACATGACCATAAGGATAGTGCAATGGTCGTAAATGTGAAAAATGGCCATAAGTCACTTTTTTCAGTGCCATTTAATTGCGAATGGTCACTAAATGAACTGTTGTAAGTCGAGGAGTACCTGTGTGTTCTTCTAGTAAGCTGTTAAACTGAGTGAAACAAAGGAAAGTAAATAACTGGTTTTTTCCCCCACAACAGATGCTGTGGAAAGTAGTCAACTTCAGGGGGAAATGGGAAGGAGAATCAAGTACAGATGTGCATGCAAAAGACTGAACTAAATTCTACTACTATAAAAAAATTACTGAGTCACTGCTCAGAAATATCCTGATGATTTGAGACTCCATGAAAGTCAGCACAGCACAGAGCTTAAGATGTTCAATTGGATCAGAATCATTTGGGGGCTTGAGAAGAGAATGGAAAAGGGTTAGAGCTTTTAAGAGGCAACCCTCTTTCATTCTCATCCTTAAACCTCCCAACACGAGACCGGGGGTGGGGTGGGTGGGGAGACACACAAAACAACACTCATGATACTTAGCACAAAAATGGCTTTCATGGTTGCAGGACATGGGAGCATTAAAGACAGGAATAGAAATGATTCGACTTTTAGAAGCCTCCCACATTCATTCCCACCTTTAATTTGCTTCCAAAATATTGCACCATACAGTATAAAGTGGGCCATCTTGCCACTGGATCTTGTCAGTATAATCGCAGATATATGTGTGGGATTCTGAGGTGGCCTGTAGGCTGCCTCCCTGTGTTGTGGTTTGACTGTAGAAGGCTAGCAGAGAAACAAAACAAACTCCTGGTGGCAACAATAGGTTATCTGTCAAAGTTTGGCACAGAGAGAACAGAACAAGCCCAAAGTTTCCAGTGATGGTTACCATATTTGTAGAGCAGGTTTTGCCTGACTGTAGCCATGGAAGTAATTAGAGAAGCAGCCTTATAAGTAGTTTCCAAGTGGCCAGCAATTGTGCAAAGTGAATTCAACACTTTGGTCAGGCTCCCTCTGGCCAGAGAAAAAGCTAGCAGTGTAAGTTCTACTTCTGGAGAGGCACAGTAACTGGAATGGAAAAAGAAAGTTTAAATTTAAAAAATGTATTCTACCTTGCCACCATCCTCCCCCTTTTTATGTTCCAGCTTAAATCTTATCATACCTGGTAATTCCCAGGAGAAAATTGTCCACTTCTTCCAAAACATTGGAAGATAAGAAACTTGAAATATCTGTGGAGCCTGGAGACAGAGACAGAGGTGGCATATGTTGCAATGCCTTCCTAGAGGGGAAGAGAAAGAAGGCCATCAGTAATTGCCTCAAGCCCATCACAAAAAGACAGCCACAATGGGTAATATTTGCCCAAGAATCTGGCAACAAAGGAATAAGGCACTTAATTACATTTGCCTTTACTTTGTGTTTTAGCAACCTCTCTTTGTTTTTAGCCATTCAGGTTCCTAAAAGTAGATTGTTAATAAATACTCGGATACCTGCCCTATAACAGGCTCAATCACTAGAGCTTATTCTACAGAGAATTCAAAGAAATTAATTTCTATAAGAAACAAAAACATCCCAGCTTGTGATCAAATTGGTTTAATCCATGCAATCCAGTCCTGTGATACAATTCTTAGTATTGCCCTGAAGGTGCACTTAAAAACTGGCTGATCATTAACATGGTTATCTATAAAGTAGCATTTGCAGTATATAGACCTTGAATTTTTTGGCCACTAGGCTAGCAGTTAATATCTTTAGGTTGCCTGGAGCTTTTCCTCCACTCCATGGAGGCAGGGAAGAAAATAGTTAGTGGTTACGTTAATTGCATAACTTTATACAATTTTATTTTTGAAAATAATAGCTTACATTTTTAAAACTGTTTTGGAGCTTTAACTTTCATTATGATGCATAAAATAAAATCACTTGAAAATCATCATTCTAAATGGATATTTTATTTAATGAGCCGTATTGCTTCTAAAGCAGACAATAGCAATAGCAATAGCAGTAGACTTATATACCGCTTCATAGGGCTTTCAGCCCTCTCTAAGCGGTTTACAGAGAGGTCAGCATATTGCCCCCAACAATCTGGGTCCTCATTTTACCCACCTCGGAAGGATGGAAGGCTGAGTCAACCCTGAGCCGGTGGGATTTGAACTGCTGAACTGCTGATCTAGCAGTAGCCTGCAGTGCTGCATTTAACCACTGCGCCACCAAAGACAAACCAGCAAAGGATAAGGCACCTGATTTTCCTATCTTGATATTTGCACAAGAGCAGTTAAATATTGCCTGCTTCATTTTGAAGGTTTATACTATATTAATAAAAGTGAAGCATGCATTTATAAAATGTATAGGCTGTAGGGCTATGAGCAGCATCAATAAAGAAAACTGTTCCGAACCAATCACTTCTTTTTTTTTGCATCTCTGGATTCAAGATATTTACATGCTATAGTTCAAAGTTCCAAACATAAGCTGCAAAGCAACCTTTTTCGCCTGAATGCTCTCTAGATGGGTGAACCAATTCCCATATTTTCTCAGCCAGCATGATTACTGCCAAGAGTTAAAGCCTGGAAGGTGCCAAATTTGGGGAAGGCTGACCTGGTTGAATACCTAGGTTAAATGTGAATATGGATGAATACTGTTCTTTAATGCTATAAAGGAATACATAAGAAGGTACACAATTACCAAACAAAAAAAGTGATTTAAGGAGAGTTAACATGCTGAAAGAGGAGAGAACTTACTGGGTATTTTGCAGAATGGCGTGAACAATCGCGGGGTTGGTTTCCATGGATGCCGTGACCAGAGAGGTCAAAAGTGACCAGTACCAGATTGCTGAAGCATCACATACAGAGACACAGTCTTTTTTCACTCTTTGGTACCCAATAGCCCTGAGACCATGAATTCTTGTGTCACATCCATCACTAAGGCAACGCTTGATGTTAATCTGTACATCTGTCAAGAATATCAAACAAGGGTAATTTCTTCCAGTCAAGGGCCAAACTGAAAATTTCAGAAGTCAGTCAGTTCTTGATACACCATTTAAGAACAGTTCTGAAGGCACATAGCTACACAGTTGAATTAATCTTTAAAAGACACAATTGCATCTAGGTATAATCTCAATACTAATATGTCTTCCTAGTTAGCAAATCTAACCAAAGGTAGGCTCATTTGGCTCATGATGTTTTTTAAGGCAGGACTACTTTCTGAAGATTCTCTGTCAGACAGTTTGTATGGGGAATATGAAAGGTAAGAGTGTGCTCCTGAATCAATGGGAAAAATGATAATCTAGAAAAAGTAAATGTCTAGTCATTTTCATAATCAGGTTACAATGGGAAAACTACACATCTTTGTTTTTGTTGTTGTAGTAATAGTATTTTTTTTCTCGGATGTCATTCTAAATATTGATTTCTAATCATTTCTCATGCCAAGAGTAATGAATAGATGCTTTCATAGGAAGCATCAGAAAAAAAGTAACCTCTTGCCAGCTCAAAATGATATCAATTGAAAACTATACCAGACTCTTTTAGAATCATGACCTTGAAATGACTAGACTATGAATCTTTTAACAGTGGGAAAGCAAGCAAGTTAAAGGGAAGCAAACACTGCAACACCATCTCCAGCGGGGTACATTTGTATCGGTACATGTGTTGAACACAAATACTCAACATCCCCCAGTTAATTTAAATGAGAAAAGATACAGATGATTTAAGAGCAAAAAAGTAAAGAAAACCTACATAGTTCCCATGTCTGTCAAATGTAAGAGTTTTAAATGACCAGCAATACTCCTGTAACAATGTCAGTTCTGGTTTTGGGGCTTTGAAGAATTGCAAAATGGCATGCCATTTCCTAACTGGATTAATACAAATTCAATCAAGTAGTATATCCTTCTGAATGAGTCTATTGAAATAAAAAGCACGGCACCCGAAAATTTCAACAAATGAATGTCTCAGCACCATGAGAACTACACTGATAACTTAGTAGGAATTTATGTTCTGCCACTTGAGGCTGATGTGTTTTATGTTTGCAAGTTCAATTCTTGGAGTTGTACTAAAAAAAAGAGAGGGGGAAAAACCAGAACAAGTAATTTACCATCTCTGACTTATTAGAGCATTATTTCCTGTCAATGATTGTAAGGTTGGAGTTCAGCACTCAATTGCCAAAATTAAGAATAAATTCCTACATCTAAGTAATCAATCAAATTTACAAGGAATTAAGATAGTATATTATATCAACAGCAAAACAGCAGATGGATGTAGGCCAAGAACTTTGTTTGACAGATGGCCAGGCTATCTGCTAAAGTAGTCACTTAGTGGGAGAAATAAAACCAGAAATTATAAAGGGTAGTAGAATTCCATTTGGATCAGGATACAAGTCAACCTGCACTATTTTTTCTGATCCAATTACCTTTCCTCAAACTATTAATCACAGAGGAAAGTATACACACAGCAATAATGCGTTGGGTGGGGAGATAATAGTAGTTTTTTTTTTTTTAATGGCAGAAGGGAACAGAATGGATTGGCCTCCATTATTCCTATAGTATCGTTGTTTAATTATTCTGAAACAGGACTCCACTACTACCACAACTCTTGAAACAAGAGTTTAGACAAATCCAAGAAATTCTCCACATAATGTAATTCTTTCAACCCTATCATATCTATTCCAATGAGGCTTCTCTTGTCTGTGATTTCGTAGTCTGATTCTGAACATTACTGATCTATCCAGCCTAGGCAACCATTTCATGATTTTTAAAACAGGATTTTGTTTTTGGTTGTCACTGCCAGCATATATATTTAAGAGTTAGTTATAATTATGATACATGACTATTGCCCTAAGAGAAATTCTAGTGCCAGCATATATATTTAAGAGTTAGTTATAATTATGATACATGACTATTGCCCTAAGAGAAATTCTAGTGATCCCTGAAATGTTTTAGGCATATTCACACAATCAAGAATTTAGACAAACAATTGAGATCTGCAATCAAGTGTCCCAATATAGCTCTATATCTAAAAAAACCATCCTGTTTAGAGGTGATTGACCTTGAAAACCTAAAAGTTCAAAGGAGGGAGATTTCAAAAAATAACAGAAGGTGCTGTCACCCTCTTCTTACGTTATGAAACATACGAGAGAAACCCAAACTTATTTAAGTGTGGGAAATTTTCCTCCTTACAACAAACTGGTATATCAACATTATGTAGATACTGGAAAGTTCAAAATAATTTTGAGTTTTTTCTTATTTTTAGAGACGTGTACATACGTATACCGGTACATATGGAGTCCCGAATATAACCTTATTTGGGTATTATAAAACCTAAAGTAGCTCTCGTGTTAGTGCTCACAATAATCTATGCCCTGTCTCCACTGACATCATTTATTACTGCTAAAGTGCCTGCTTATGTAAAAGTCACTATCTTATTTTTAGGTGGCCCTATTCCATTTCTACACAAATAAACAGCCGAAGATTCAAGGTTGCTGTTTGCACAGATAATGATGCTTGCAATGGACCAAACTACAATCTCAGGACAGAATTTTGACAAATAATTTCACTTGTGCAAGTATTTTTCTAAAGTTCTATAAATGGATGAAGCAGGAAACATATTTCTAATGAAAATATCTGATGGAAGAGGTGGTGAACACATTGTCATTTCTTGATTAAGAGATGAGCCCCTTTTACATCTGAATGTCTATCTCCTACTTGTGAGAAACTCCCACCCCGCTTTCCTTTCAGGTTCTTCAGAAAATAAACTATTTTCTATTTTACAGGCTCCTTTTTTAAAGAACGCAATACTCAGCTACAGTATTTCCTGAAAAAAACCAACATAACCACAAAGAAAAAAGATTTTGAGGACAGTCTCTTTTTCGTTCTAAAAAGCCAAACAGGAGATGGTGGTTGCAATTTCTTTAAAAGCCCAATTTGCAGGAAGACTCAACTACCACTAACTTCCTACTCAACAAACAGGAAAAAAAGATGATTTTTCTCTATCAACACTGTTACAAAGTATCTGTTGGATCTCATTGCTCTTGCCTGCAAAACTCTAATGGAAAATGCACCCATAGCTCCCTACCTTCTACAAAGAAAAGGAATGGCAGATTGGCACACCTGATCCTTCTGAAAAAGCTAACCTTACAGGGATAAAACCATCTATTTTCTCCATGGAGAAGCTTCCTCAGGTTCCACATTTGCAGAGAGCCACAGCAATGCTTTGCTGCTTCTATCTCCTTCAAACTTTTAACAAAAAAGAAATATGTTCTTTCTCGTAGAGAAAGCCAGGGTGAAGGAAAAAAAGTGATCTTTCTTATTCAGCTTTAGCAAATAACAGCAATGGCTGCTTGCGCCTTCTTTAAAAGTGCATCAAATATAACTTCCTTCCTCGAGTTCCCTACATACTCCTATTCAGGGACAGGAAGAGCAAGCCGCAACACAAATAATGTATTTGTGATTATATTCATATAATTTGGTGGAAAAAGCAATATTTTAAAACCTTGTTTTAAAGGTCTCCCTTTAGCTTCCAAATCATTCAGTAATTTACTTTAAAAAAAAGCAAAAAAAAAGCCAATTGTATTGTTATTGACTCACACATCTGACTAATGTTAGCGTTTTCCAACAATGTCACGTATCCAGTAACATTGCTGGGAATGTGAACATCTCGGACCTCCTGGAGATTGTTGGGAGTCCTTCCAACTGCTACTGTAATTTGCTGGGGCATGTAACTCTGGTCGTTTGCCGCGACAGCAATGGAGAGGTGCCTCAGAATAACATCTGACTTCATCTTTAAACTGCAAGGCAGAAAGAAAAGAATTTATCTATCAACCCCAACTACAGCAGCCTCACTGGCTCACAAAGTAAGAATATACGCAATATATGAAATATAAAAACATAAGCACAGGACAATTAAAGTGTGATGATACATCACTGTTATGGAAACTTTTAATAGAAGCATTATTCATGAAAACATGAAGAAACCAAAAGGAATGCCTTCGATACTCACATTTCTCAGCAACTAATACAAAAATAGGTTCAACTGTAGTCTACTTGACAGAAAACAGTATAACATAGCAAGCATGACTATATCAATTGATAGGTTTAAATTTCATGAGAAAGATAAAACAATGTTTCCATTTCAATGAATCTTGAGAAAACAAAAGACTGCAACATTTAGATATATATATAGAGATATATAAACCAGGGGTGTCAACTCAAGGCCCATGAGCCAGATCTTGCCTGCGGAGCCACCATGGAAACAGCGAAGGACTGGCCCATGGTGCCTCTGCCAGCTAAAATGGAGCGCATTCTGCAACCTCTGCCAGCAAAAATACAACTTGCTCCGTTTTTGATGGCAGAGCACTCAGGTCTTCACAAGTGCCCCCAACATGAGTGACGTTGAACTAGCCATGCCTATGCTGGCCATGCCCCCGGCCCCCTTAGGTCAAAGACAACCTGATGCGGCCCTCAATGAAATGAAATTTGACACCCCTGATATTGATTGATTGTGATGGATGGTTTTATCTTGGCCGTTGTTTTTGTTTTTTATGTTATGATGTTTTTAATTCTTTTAATTTCTTGTTAGTTGCCTAAAGTCATATATCGGAGATGGGTTGCCATATAAAGAGAAGAAACAAATATACACTTTCAAAAATATAAAATTCCGTTTACCTAAAACAGGTTATCAGAGATGTATAGAATTGCATCGTAGACTGATAAAAGTTACATGTTTAAATAATATTTTAAAAAATTCCAAATGTGTGTTAGCCATATCCAGTCATTAACCCTGGTCTTTTAATGCACTGCTTTTATCCAGGCATTTTCCTGCTTTTCTTTCAAAATATTTTTTTATTCTGCTATCAAATTATTTGTAATAAATAGCATGTATATATGTGTGCATATAATATACACTACACATAAATTCAAGCTAAAACTGCAATTTTCTCCAATACAAGAAGGCATAATTCTGAAGACTTTGAAAAGAGAACAAATTTTTCCCATTAGAAAAAGGTTTCTCTTATGCAAATTTAACATTTGTCATTTAAACATTTGTCATTTAACATATCAAGCAGTCAATTAATAGTCCTGAAAGAGAATCACAGTATGCTATTTCAGATCCATCAATTGGTATGAGAGAAATGCTTTTTGATTTTTTTGGCCAGATCAGTCAGATTTCTATTTGGTCAGAGTTCATGTTTTAAGTATATGCCAGCATTAGTCTCGGGCTAGGCCTAATCTATGTGTATTATATAAATGTGGCTGGTTAAATGAACACAATCCAGTTGTGCCACCCCTAACACCTGGGAGTCTTGTATTGACAAAATTATAGATCAATTTCATCAAAGTCAGATTTTATTCTGGCCATTTTAGACAGTTCGTTAATATTTAGCAAGAAGGCCTCACCGTATCCAGTGTGATCGAGCACTCCCATCCGATTGCCAGAAGGAGGAAGTTTCTCCATTTGTCATTTTGTCTATATCGGATGAATTAGAGGAGGTTTCTATATGGGTGTAGCACTTAGAAACTGATTTGAGTTTGTCCAATTCCTGGTTTCCATTTAAATCACTAGGGCTCTCTGTAAAATGATTGGATATAGGGACAAAGAGGAGAATTGGAATCACTCATTATCAACAGATTTCACTATTAATTTGCATACTGGTTTGCTTTTATTGTTAACTTCCTAGAAATATGCATTTGAGATAGACAGACACACACACAGACAGACAGATCTGTTCGCTGTTCTTTGTGAATGTCTACTCTCTTATTTCATGGTGGCTACCCTCAAAATGTGGCACCAGAAACTCAGAATACAGTGTGCAAGCCATCAGCTAAAAACTTATAAAAATTGCATTCACACAAATTGTAAAATTCACCTCATCCCATAGGGAATACAACTAAAATTTGAAGAAAAGAATTTCACCACCACCCCTGTATAGCGATTACTGAGCCTACTACTTCTACATTTAATTTTTAATATTTTCTTGTTTGTGGTTTTTGACATCTTTAGCTGTCTCTATTCAGTTTGATAAAAAAAATGAAGGAAGTACCTCTTTCCCAGTTTTGCTGACTAATGTGCACTTGTCTGAATAATGAAACAAAAAACCCAAATGAAACTGTTGACTGATTTGCGCAAATCAATTTTACCACACTATTTATGGGCAAAGGAATGTATGGAATAATTTTACTTCAGTTTTTCAGTGTGTGAGAAACATTCCTCAATGGTTACTCAGGAATGGGTTTCTGTTGCAATGGAAGAGCAGTTAATTCTTTTTCTAAAGTTTTTCAAGAAGGAAGGGAGCAAAGGACAGCACTAGCTATAGTTGTTGCTTTGTAGCTTCCTTCATGCTTCAACCCTAGCATTGTTCTAGGTCATTTTAAGTAGAGGGATGGCCACCTCCAAAATGCTGCAGAACACTTAAGGAAAATTCTGCAAAATGGACTTTAACTTAGAAGAGGAATGAAAAAGAAATACCTAGAACAGTAAGTGGTTTTGGCTCTGCTCCACTTAAAAGCATTCAAATCCACTTTCCTAAATTAACAATTACACAATGCTGCAGCTTGCTTCTTTAGTTGCACAATCCTTCCAGGAAAAAAAGAGCATCGAGGGGAAAATAATTATATAAGTATGTTGTAAATCAGGGATCCCCATATTTTTCAGTTCATTAACATTGTCATGAATTTTGAGATTGTTCTTTGATTGCTCCCCCCAAACATTTATTATATGAAAACAATTTACTAAATACTACTTTAACTAATAATATAAATAATAATGGTATCATCAGCCAGTTTTGGTCAACCCTCATTGACCCTTGGGAGTTGATACTGACCACTATGGAGAATCCTGCTTTAAATCATTGTCTTCGTAAGTATTAGGGGAATTGAAGAAAAGCACATAGGGCAACACATCACTAACTAATTTTATGAAAACCAAATACAAAAGTCATATTATTATAAATCCCAACTGTCAACCTGATACTTACTTTGATGACAGAATTTCTAAACAAATTCCTTCTCTCATATAATCCTGTCTTTCTTTTTTGTAATATCAGCATTAGATGCTGATATTTAGGATGCCATCGTGAGATGAAGGACATAGGA